GTTTAAAATCCATGCTGTCCAATCCAGGTCACTGTTTTTTACAGAAACCCTGTAAAAGCATCGCAGCTTTGCCAATCTCAGAGGATTAAAAGAAAAAAAATTCCTGTATCCACATTGTGATCCAGAACATCACCAAAATTTAAAGGTGTGTTCCTTGGCCCAGTACCCACATGTGGTAAAAATGTCATGACAATCTGTCTACAAGTTTTTGAGTAATGTTGTCCACAGACAGAACGACAGACAAACATACGCGACCGGAAACATTACCTCGCCCTTGACGGATAAGAAGTAAATAAAAAAGGCAACTACAAGTGCTGATACTGGAGATAAACCCAAATTATTAATTTTTTTTATTTATTTACGTGTAACATTTTAACTGTGAAGGTATTCTTCCAGTGAAAAGACGTGTAAATACGCGTCCCGATGCATTTTAATGGTAAGGTTGGAGCGCGTGGTCATGCAAACACGTAAAGCCGACGTCAGGTGAAGGCTAGACCGTCTCATTTCACAGCAGCTTTAAGCAGCCTACCRGACCCAGCGAGGACGTGGCCCAACAGGGCTACGTGCTCATGAGGACCCAGCCCATGAATTGAGACACAGCCATGCTGTGCGTCAGCTCGACCGTGAAGGAGGCTAAGCTAAGATGCTAACAGGACGTTGCGTGTGCTATAAACAACCATCCCCTACTACAAGCAGGCTAAAACAGTGCAGAAAATTGACGTCGTCGTTCACAACTCCTCCTTCTGTTCACTGATTGTACAAAAGAAACCTACCAAAGAAATCCTTGTCTATGGCAGAAATCCCAGACGGAGCAGAGGAGGGAGATTAGAATCGAGCAGAACTGTGTAGGAAGGCTACAAGTAACTTAGAAAGAAATAGATCAAAGTTCAGCACTTTAATAATAAACCCACTTCAACCTGTAAGCAGTGTTTTCCTCATAGTGTGTAAGATGTGCCATAGTTCTTACAGTGGTTAACTTGTGTGTTTGTTTGTTTTTGTGTGTATAAATACAGCTTCCCAATTACAAGAACTTCAAAGGGGTGATCCATGAGCTGGGACACAACCAGTACCTGGTCAGTGGAGAAGTCTCTGTCTTGGATAAAAACACCGTTGAGATCACAGAYCTTCCTGTGCGGACCTGGACTCAGGTAGGACCCAGCTGCAGGGCTCAGGTGAGCTGTGTGCGTGGATGTTAGCTGTGTTACAGTTCTGCGTGGTCTCTGTGGCTGCAGGCCTACAAGGAGTCGGTGCTGGAACCCATGCTGCTGGGCACTGATAAGACCCCGGCTCTCATCAACGATTATAAAGAGTACCACACTGACACCACAGTCAAGTTTGTGGTGCGCATGTCTGAGGAGAAGCTGGCCCAAGCAGAGGCAGTGGGCCTCCACAAGGTCTTCAAACTGCAGTCCAGTCTCACCTGCAACTCCATGGTACACCTGCTCAGGATCAGAACCAGCTACAGCTACACGTACGGTGTGTTTTATTCTTCTAACGTCTTCGTTTCTAGGTGCTGTTCGATCACATGGGCTGTTTGAAGAGGTACGACTCAGTCCAAGAAATCCTGAAGGAGTTCTTCGACCTTCGTCTGCACTACTACAAACTGAGGAAGGACTGGCTGCTGGGTAGTCTGGGCTCCGAGGCCGCCAAGCTGTCCAACCAGGCCCGCTTCGTGCTGGAGAAGATCGAAGGAAAAATAACAATAGGTGGGAGTTCTGACCGTGTTTAAGAACGGCTGTTAACCCCAGGGTTCAGGAAAACTCTGAAAAATACTGATTTGATTTGAGTGAAGAAGAGTGTAAAACATTGTTGGCCCACAGCTTCAGCTTTTATCTGCCAGTAAAATCATTTCTGAGTTTCTGGTTGAAGACTTCACACAGAAAACAAACCTCCTCCAGACCTTTCATTTCAGTTAAAACTAAACATGACAAAAACATTTGATTATTGAAAATTGAAAATATTCCAATAAAAACTGCTGCTGTGACAGTTTTAATAAACAGAAAGACAGAAAGTCTTCATTATTTTTACCAGAAGTATCCTTACAACATGCTGACCATTCATCTTTTTATTTATAAGAAGAGCTTCATTTGATTGATTTAGTCTTGCTGGAGTTGGAACCTAATCCAAATTAAACCTGGCCCTGTGTGATCCACATGAGCAGCATTATATAACGTCTGTCAGGATTATTGCCTTCAACTCGTTGCTTTAGTTCTCAATGTTTTTGTTTTTTTTCTTTCAGAGAACAAATCAAAGCGTGAACTCATCCGCATGCTGGTGCAGAAAGGCTTTGAGTCGGATCCTGTTGCTGCCTGGTCCAAGGCCCAGGAGAAGGTACCACAGAGCTGCTGTAAAACATCTGCTCACACCAGGAGTCAGCAGGAAGGAAAGCTGTAGGAACTATTCACTGTAGTTTATCTGTATCTGTCCATCCTAACTAAAGGCCGGGCTGGAGGAGTCCAGACTGCACCAAGAACCAGCTGGACTCAGGTCCAGGAATGCAGACTCTGCAAAGTTCCATCGATAACAACAAAAATTAGATGTTAACTTGTAGAGTTGATTATTATGTGACTGTAACCGTGTTTCCATCAAGGCTTTTTGATGCACATTTAGAAGTGTCGCATTAAAAATGTGACAAAAAGTCGGACGGAAACAGCAAAGGTCTAAAAAAAATCCTCAGTTCGCTAAAAAGTTTTTACGCTCGCTTGAGGTGGTTTTTGGATGATTCGCAAAGWAGTTAGTGCGCAAAACGGGAGATGGAAACACGTTTGTCGAATCAATTCTGAGTAGGGCATATTTACCTCACGTGACGTTCAGCTGTTTCTGTTTTCCTAGCACGTCCCAGCATAGTTGCACGTGCCTTTCCGCTGCGTAGTTTAACATTGTTTTTATTTCCCTACGGCTCCTGGCAGCGTTAAACGTAGCCTGTACTAGCTGAATAGATAGAATAATTACAACTTGCCCAATAGCAAGGCATTCACGAAAAAAATCGCTCCATTGTCCCGAGATGATTAGCCGCTGCCAGTTAGCAAGTTTCACTTCCTGTTTACTATTGCAAAGCTTGTCGCCGACGTCTGACGTAATCACGTGTTGCGTAGCCTCGTCTGACGTAATCACGTGTTGCGCAGCCTCGTCTGACGTAATCACA